ATATAAAAAAAAAAAAAGAAAAGTAAATGATAATAAAAATAACTTATTTTCAACTTTAATATTAGAGCAAACCATAAAAATAAAAAAAATAATTTGTATCCCAATAATCCATATCCATCTCGAACTCTCTCTCTCTCTTTACCTATTTTTATTTAGACCGACTTTGTGAATTCCCACAGGGATAGTATTGCCTTTTCCTACCTATATAAGCCTTCAAATAATTTATCGCCCCTTTATTTACACGCCACCCGAGGGGCATCGAAAATATATGAAAATATTATAAAAGTACTAAAAAGCCCCCCAAAATCTCCACCCCACGACTACCAAACCCTACGCTCCCGCCCCCAAACAAACGTGCTGCCTTTCCCTCTTCTTTCGCCGTCGTCCTCATCTTCTTCCCCTCTCTCTCTCTCTCTGCAATTTTCTCTATTTATTTTTCACCTCTGTAAGTAACTTTTCTTCTCTAATTCTTCCCTTTCGAATTAATTTATCCATATTTTTCCGACCGTTGGCCGTTCGATCTGAGGCGAATCCAGATCCGAGACGAAGATCCGAGATCTGAACGAAAGGACCATGGTGGTGACCGGGAGGCCCACGAAGAGGCTGGTCAAGCGGCGCGTAACCGCCGATCTGAGCGATTTCCTCGCCTTCCCAACCTCCGGTGACCTGGCCTCGCTCGCCGCTGCCGGGAAGCCGTTCAGGACGGCGGTGAGGGACTTCCTGACGAACCACGCGCTCCTCCCGCCCCCGTCGTCGCTCTTCCCCCACCTGCTGACCTGGCAGGTCCTCTTCCGCGTCGGCGACGTCGCTGGGGACGACGGCGGTCCCGCCGTCGTCTGCCTCGACGTCGTGGAGGAGGATGTCGCCAGATCCAGATCCGTTTACTGCGACCAGTGCCGTGTCGTGGGTGAGTTCGCAACACCGGCTCGGCCGGGTTGACTCAGTCGATTTTTTCTTAGTCGAATATTTTTTTTTTATGGACAATTAGTTTAACTTAATCGCTAAGTTACTAAAATTATACCTTTTTCACTTACCTATCATCGATTTTAACCGCTGTATTTTAGGTTAATAATTTGTACTTTTAATCAATATTAATGTGAAATTACCTAAACAAAGATAAATTAATTATTGACTGATAATAATATATATTCCCAAAAAGCCCCTCAGTGGACAGCTGGACCTGTAGAGTCTGAAATCAATTTACTGGCCCAAAGGCCCAACTAAAGTAACAAAACAAAACAGCAGATATTGTGAACAAGTGGGCCCATCATCATGTCTTGAATACTTTTCCGAAACTACCCTTGGACACAATCATTGGAAAAAACACGAAAACATTAGACCACCACCCTTTGTTTTTGGAGGCGACAAATGTAATTTACTAATTTGTCATGATTTGGTCGGCTCTTATTTTCTATAAGATTAAGAAGTGACGTGGAATTAGTGCAACAACTAATACCATCCCTTTTGACTTTTTTAGCCTATCTTTATTTATTTATTTTTAATTTGACATTTATTTATTTTATGAGTTTAATTCTTATAATATTTATTTATTTATTTATTTATTTATTTTTGGGATGAAAGAAGAATTTTTTTGGGTATCAAAAGTGAAATCAATCTATTCTTTTGAGCTGTAATAGGATGGAGTAGTAATCCAGTGAGTGCAAAGCGCTACCATTTCATAATTAAGGCCGATGGGAACTCCATTGCTGGCTATAACAAAACTTGTGCTGGTTGTGGCGAGTCCCTTCATATGTCTGATTCCAGGTGAGGGCAAACTGTTTTCTCTGGCTCACGGAATTGTGACTCGTTTCGGTCGGTGACCTTGACGAGGAGTAGATACGGAAATGTGCCTAAAACTAAGCTAAAGAAATGAACTTGGATGTGTTTGGACATTGTATGATAATTTTATTTGCTTCTATGATTTGAAGTAGTATTGGGTGTTTTAGCTGCAGCTTTTGAATGTGTCCCACTAGTTGATTTCAGTTGGAATAGTTTGAGTTTATTATATGATGTTGTTTTAGCAACTGAATTGAATGTTTTGATTCTATCTTTGCTTCTCAATGGGGTTATTGAGAATCGAGTGTTACATTGTTACGTTATTTGTTGGGTTACTTGTTTGGGGACAGTGTTTATTATGGTGTGGCAAAGGAGAATTTATTCTTTTTCTGAGTTGTTTTTGTTTACTCTTTAGGTGCAAGTCATGCAATCACATCATGACCACTGAGGATGTCGAGGACTGGATGTATCAGCAGCTCGAGAACACAACCCATCTGCTGCACGGCGTGATTCACGCCAACGGCTATGGCCATCTTCTTAGAGTCAATGGCAGGGAAGGCGGGTCCCGCATTCTGTCTGGACGTCACATAATGAACTTCTGGGACCGTCTTTGCACAATGCTCGGTGCCAGGTCGGGATAATAAAATTTCCCCTTTTTTTTTGAGGGTTTTGTATTTGGATATTTAAAAGCCGTAATGATAATAATAATTTGAGGGTTCCCGCCCCGTGTGTAACAGAAAAGTCAGTGTGATGGATGTGTCCAAGAAAAACGGGCTGGATTTCAGGCTGCTTCACGCGGTTGTCAAGGGCCACCCGTGGTATGGGGAGTGGGGCTACAGGTTTGGTGCCGGCAGCTTCTCGTTGACCCTCGAGGACTACAGGACAGCTGTCGCGAGCCTGTCCTCTCTGCCCCTGGCTGTGTTCCTATCTCAGGGGAGAATGCCCCGGACCTGCCTTCAGGACCTGATCTCCTTCTACCAGTCCGTGTCGGAGCACGAGCTCCTGAATGTCCAAGACCTCTTCACTTTCCTGATGAATTTGATTCACGATGTTCGTCACAAGGCCCACCTCAGACAGGATGAGTCTGTCCCGTGCAAGAAGCAGAGGACTTGCGACTCGAGGGCCTTGTGTTCTTGGACAGTCGTTGACGTAAGGCGGGTGGAGGAGGCCATGTTCAAGGTATTACGTGCTGTGAGTGGGTCCACCTGGGTCAGCTGGCGTGCTCTCAAAGGTGCCGTCTGCAGGGCGGGCAGCCCCGAGCTTTTGGATTACTGCCTGAAGGAATTGAAGGGGAAACAGGCAGTTCCAGGTTTGGTTGTTGCTGCCCGTTGCGTCTCTGATTCTGGCGCCATGGAGTACAGGTATGTGTCGATAATTGTTATGTTTCTTATGCTTTGCCTTTTTTTTTGATTGCTTTAGTGGTTACTTATCATTGATAGATATCTGAGGATATACAATATTTATCCTTGAGGCCTATTATAATCACAATTTGCATTTACCCTATTACTCCCGAGGGATGTAAGTTGTAAACAGAAACAAATTTTGATAGGGTATTTATAATCCTGATGAAAGGCAGCCTAGTGTAAGATTTGTGGACCGGTTCTAACCCTTTGTTCGACAAACATTAAAAAGTCAGATTGCGTTTAACAACACTTATGATAGATACTTTTTTTTCGTTGATGTTCATATATATACTGAATTCTATTTTTATGAATACTTCACTGGTTACAAATAGGTGCTATTAAAAATAATCCACTGTTCAGAAATTGCATAATTCACAATTCCTACAGTCCTTGCACTAGGACATGGTTCTTGTTAAAAGTGCATGTGCATCCGATGTATATAAATAATGTTTTTAACTTTCTAAGTGTTAGTTATCAGCTTTTATTGTACATTCTGATAATCACTCAGTTAACTAACCCACATCTACAATCTATTTGCGTCTAGGCTCGAACCAGGAAGTGCATCCACACCACAGGTGGTGGTCAACAACTCTCCGAACAACTCACATGAAAGCCCAAACCACCCGTCCGAAGAACGTCTTCTCCGGGACCTCAAATATCTATACGAGTGCATGCTCCACCCATCAACAATGACCCCACACGTGCCCCCTTCCAAGCGAAACACCGCACTCAGCTCGGCCGTGAAAATCCTCGACTGCAAGCAGTTTGTGAAGGAGTATCACCTCCCGGACAATTTCCTCTCCTCATTTCCTCCCAAGCAAAACACTGTCCACCTTCTATGCGAGATCGACCTAACCGAACAACAGCAGCACGAGGAATGCAACTGCAATCCCCCACCTGAGCTCCTCGTCCTCTTGCCCAGTGCCACAATTGCCGACCTTAAGAATGAGGCCATGAAGGCCTTTCAGGACGTGTACCTGATGTTCAAAAGGTTCCAGGCGGACGAGTTGGTCGGGTACGGTGGTGTGGACGAGTCGACTCAGGTGAAGCTGCTGTTGGGGTCGACCGAGCGTGTTCGGATTCGGGGAAGGTTTCTGGGGAAAAACGGGTTGGGCAGGTTTAGGATGGAGAGGGGAATCGATAGGTGGGTCGTGGACTGCTTGTGTGGGGCCCGGGATGATGACGGGGAGCGAATGCTGGCCTGCGATGTTTGTAGCATATGGCAGCACACGAGGTGTGCTGGGATTCTTGATTCCGATTGTGTGCCGGTCAAGTTTTTATGCTACAGGTGTAGGAGTGTGGCCCGGACAACGGCGAAGCCCAATGGGCTGTGCAGGAATGAGGTGGTGGATGGTGATAATGCCGGGATGGGTATGGGCTTGTCCAACACTGGGGTTTTGTAATCTGTAAATGTTTTTTTTTTGGGTCCTTTTTTTGGGTCTTTTTTTTCCTTGGCTTTGAAAAAGGTTAGTGTGCCATGTGTAAATATGAAACATCATGGCCTTGGAAATGACTTCCAGTGGACGTTTGGTCAGAATCCAGAGTGGCATTTTCCCCCTGCAGGGCGGTGTTTTGGTTCTTGAGGGCCTTTTACGTAAATTATTCTGTGTTATCTCGACTTGTTTTGCGTATAAATTATGAGAGATGATTGGGTTCGTATAATAAGAGGATATGTTTTGGTGGTTTAATCGTGTCCGGTTTTCTTTGATAACTGTATCTTCACCCGTGCGGTGCACGGAACATATTTATTAAAATATTTTAATAAATACATTAATATATATATATATCATAAATAGTAAATGACAAATAAATAACATTATTATTGAATAAATAGTAAAATGACAATATCATACGGTACTACAAATTTTGAAAAACTTCTTGATAGACAACATTTATAGTAGTTTTCTTTTCCCCATTATCGTCCCCCATATATTATAATATCTTCAATCCATGTGGATTAGTGACTCGAGACATATCAATATATAATTGACTATGACTAATAAACACGGGTCTTTTCATGTAAAGTCCGACATGGGATAACTACTGCTCTTGACTCTTGTTGATTGTCATTGAGTAAGAAAACATAAGGGTAAATTGTATCTTCAATCCATGTGGATTAGTGACTCGAGACATATCAACGTATAATTGCCAATGAATAATAAACACGGGTCTTTTCATGCAAAGTCCGACATGGGATAACGACTGCTCTTGACTCTTGTTGATTGTCATTGCGTAAGAAAACATAAGGGTAAATTGTCTACACTGGAACTTGAAGGGTATCCTAAGATCAGATGGAGTTAGGGAAAGTCTTGGTACCAATACCTTATGTCCAAAATTTGATCCTGTTAGAATCTTACATTCAAACACGTGAGTGAAAAGTTTCGTTATCACCAAGCGTGTTCCATTACACAGTCCAATCGAATGGTCAATGTTCCTCAACAACATGACAGGAGTCCCAACCTTTAAGTATAATTCATTATTTGGAACACCATAACATTTTATACTATTTAAGAACTCCAAGTCTGCAAGTCATGCAAGAAATCAACACCTTGGATTTTAATATGAGAGAATAATATAATGACACAAATTTTGAATATGAGATTTATAGCGTGAATTATTCCTATTCTGTACTCGAGTATCTTGGTAAGTTTGGGTGTATTTTGTTAAGCATTCACCAATAATAATGCTTAATTTTTATTGACATTAATATGATACAAGTATTTTGTTAAGCATTCACCGACAAAATTTCCAAAAACGATACACTAAGTTGGCGTTGTCAACAAAACAGACATTTTGTTGTCCCTCACGGAAAGGAAATATTTAGTTGACAATTTGGTCGGAAAAGATAAATTAATCACTCAACCTGGATAAAAAACTGACGTGGCCGGATTAGATAATGACGTGACATTATAAATTTCCTTAATTTCCTACGTGTTATATATATGGCGTGATGTGTCATCCTTCTCTCCAAGTACACAACTACGCATAGATAAATAAAAATAAAAATAATCTAAAAATAAATAAATAAATAAAAAATAAAAACACATCAGAAAAAATAAATTGCAACAAAAGCTCTTAGAAACATAAATTGATAAAGCATACTAGTAAATAATAAAACTGCAAACAGACCCCTTGGTTCTCGTCGTGTTGTCGATGCGCAACATGGCTCACGGTGCGAGGCCTAAAGCTACTGCGACCTATGTTGGGTCGCGACGAGCGTTGCGGCGCGAGGCTCGCGTGACGCCCTGCTGTGCGCGCGGTCTTTAGTGGTGCGTCTGTTTGTCATCCTTGCAGGCTTGTGCTCGTTTTCTTGTATTCTTAATACGAGAAGGACGAGCTCTATTATAAGCATTCTTGAGTATCCGTCATTCATCCACGTATCGTTGTCCTCAAGAATAAAGTTTGAAAACTGATTGTGCGTATAGTGAACGTTCTCCAACGTTGCTTTCTCCAGCTCCATCCATTCAATCAAAACCTCCCAACAGAATCGATTGACCCTCTTTACTCTTCGATAGTCCAATTCCCAGTTAGGTTGCACACCGAGTCGTCCCTCTTGAATTGAGGTCGTACTTTATGGGCATCACCTATGCTTCTTTTTAATTAGGAAGCATGGATGAGTGGATGTATATGAGATTCCATCGACAAATCAAGTCGACACGCTACATCACTCACTCGTTCCTTGATTTAATAAGACCCGTAAAAACGACTACCGTGCTTATACAATGGTTTTTGCAAAACATTCTTTTGGCGGTACAATTATAAATTTAAGTAAACCTAATCGTCCGACTCAAATTGCTCTTTGTGTCTCCTTGTCACAGTACTCCTTTGTGCGGTTTATTGACCCGTATAAATTGCTTTTAAGTTTTCGGATCATCAAATCCCATGCCAATATTTCTCGATCAACATCGACATTCAAAGACTTTTTCATCGAATAGCTGACAAGAGTGGAAGCCGTTCGACCATAAACTAGATCAAAAGGAGTGAACTTAGTCAATGCATGAAAGGTCGTGTTGTACCAAAACTTGTCCCATGGTAGAAGTTCCTCCCAATTTTTGGAAAACTGATGTATGTAGCATCTGCAGTACTGCTCCAATGTACGGTTCGTCACATCTGTTTGGCAGTTCGTCTGAGGATGATATGTCAAGATCATCGCCAATTCTGTGTCATACATTTTGAAAAATCCTTCTAGAAGTTAGTCACAGAAATTTGATCCCGACCAAACACGATAGAACGAGACACTCCATGCAATTTAACCACATATTCCACAAGCAACTTGGCTATGGATTTCACCATATAAGGATGGATTAGTGGAACAAATTGTGCATACATGGTGAGGCAATCCACCACCACCATGATCCCCTTAAATCCATTCGATATCGGTAACCCCTCAATAAAATCCATCGAAGTTTATTCTCATATGCAGTCTAATATCGGTAAGGGTTGCAATAACCCGCTCTTTCTACGCGAATCTGACTTCACCATTGTCAGACATCATACTTTGCCACCGTTGACAGACATCATATATCTTTTACTAATTGCAACAGATTAATTGTTTATTAAAAAATCAGAGTGCATAGAAATTGGGTTAAATTATGTAAAATTCGGCATGCCAATTTTGCTAAAGTGAAAAATCTCTCATTTTTTATTAAAAAATATGTTTACCATAAAATCGAGAATTTCGATTAGGCAAAATACTATAACGTGTATATTTACCTAATTGCAACAGATCATGTTTATTAAAAAAATCGAATTCCATAGAAATTGGTCCTAATTTCAAATTAAAAATTAATATTTAAAAATCGCTTATCATTTGGCTATTATTTTCTTTAGTTCGATTTTTTTTTTTTTATTATAAAATAGAGTCAAAATATTAATTTGCAATTCAAAATGAAATCGGATTGGAACATCCTAAAAATTTAGATTTTGTTTAATTCTCTATAATACAAATTTGAAATTGAATGCATACGCTTACAAAATAAATAATGATTGCATGCGCTTGCAAAATATCATATATATCCTATTAAATAATTAATTGATTTATTTAAGTCTATCTCGAATCCTAATATAATTTTTGGTGGTAGACGATGTACCAAAAAACCAAACAAATAATGTTGCATACAAAGATGTGTTTAATAATCTTAAAATTATATTTTGTTTATTCCAATACATGCGTTTTACGTTCTTCCAATCATCCAAACTTAATTTAATCCCATTGTTTAATTATTGAAGTCTAATTGTTTTTTTGTTTTTAATATTTTTTCCTATTGTTTGCAAATATTTCGATTGGGCCAATTGACACATAATATTGAAACTTATAAATACATTTTACACTTTTCAATACTTTATTCGAGTTTTTTGGGCTACCCTTGTGCGTACGATCCACAACCCTCTCCCGGACTGGACCTGAAAAATGAGCCCACTTCGTAGGCCTAGACCCGTTCTGACGGTGGAAACTACTAGAATGATCACCAATTGATTGTTTTACAACGAAATATTGATGTGCTGACCAAAAAAAATAATGTATTGAGTTGAACATGTGTATGGTTTTTGCATGGGCACACAAAGCGTAACCGTGTTGACACCACTCCACTAAAGTGGTAAAAAATAATACTAATTCCGTTTTAAATTATAAGTCGCTTTGACTTTTTTGGTACATTCACTTTGCTATGTATCTAGATAATAATATGTCTAGACACATAACAAAATGGATGAATCAAAAAAATCAAAACGACTTATAATTTAAAACGGAGGGAGTAATGTTTGTGGGATGCAAATGTATTACTGGTTAAGCTGGAAGAGACCCAAACCATCTCATCTAAGCGCTCTTGGGTCTCGTGTTCGAGTCCTGGGAATGCAGCAGTGTTAAAACTCTTGAGAGAGAACTTTGCCGCCCTTGTGGTCCTACCCGACTCGATTCCGGATAAGTCAGTTCCTATGTGGATCCGAAAACCGGAAGGTCCCTGTACTTAAA